CCAGTTTGGAGCGACATCCTGATCCAGGGAGGGTCTGTGTTGTACCAAATACCTTCCACTTCTTAATAGACTTCACTGAACTTCTAGGCATTGATAAAGCCTTTGAAAATTTTTTGTATCCGTCTCCTGACTTGTGCCTGTCCACAACTTTATGCCGGAGATCTTTTGACAGTGCCTTGCCACCCATAGTTGATTGTTTGCTTCATTTGCACTCCCAAGGATCCACTGTATGTCACTTTTGTGGAAATGCAGAATCAAAAGCTCCAAAAGAAGCAAAACTTCCTGAGAACTCTAACAACCTCCAAGCATTCAGCATTTGACTTGTCACATTCTGAAAGTATGCCATATGGCACAATTAAAAGTATGGTTCTGTTACACATAGATGTTCTTATCTCCATCAGGCCATCCCTGGTTCATCTGAAATGAGACAATAATTCTCTGTCTCCATCTCAGATAAAAAAACACACACACACACATGACAGCAGGCTGAGCCTCTATCACCATCATGTCAAATGGTTATAATCTTTTGACAACACTGCAAAGACGTTCTTGAAGTTGAGAGCTGTGAAAGAAGGGGACCAGTTAATCTCCTTTCCATCTGCCTATTATTCGATTAATCCCTGGCACAGCTGTTTGAGACACTGTAAGATTGTATAATATGTGTCCCATCCCACCCTATATGCCGTAATTGAAAATGACGATTTCTCTCAGTCAAGTGCAACCAGAACACTTCTTTAAACCTGAATTAATGTCCAGTGTGGTGTGACCTAATTAAATACTTCAAGACAAAAGAGTTAATTTTGCATTTTAATCTATGCAATCGAATGGTCAGTGCTGTTCGGCCAGTGGCATGATCGACGATGCTGCTATATATATATATATATATATATAAAGAAATCTCTTTTAACTCTTATATCTCTTGTATTTTGACTGATCTGTCATGTCTGCACTCTTAAAAATAAAGGTGCTTCAAAAGGTTCTTCAAGCGATGCCATAGGAGAACCATTTTTGGTTCCACAAAGAACCATTCAGTCAAAGGTTCTTTAAAGAACCATCTCTTTCTTGCGTTTTTGTAATCTGAAGAACCTTCTTTCGCCACAAAGAACCTTTTGTGAAACAGAAAGGTTCTTCAGATGTTAAAAGTTCTTTATGGAACCATTTAGACAAAAAGGTTCTTCTATGGCATCGTGAAGCACCTTTATTTTTAAGAGTGTGCCTATACCATACAATTTTTTTTTCTTTTCATATAAAAGCATATGGTGCTATTTGATGTGCCATTAAACATACTGTCACATTATTACATAAAAACCTTCAAATGCAAAGAGATGTTGTTTTATTACAGCCAGGGATTTTACAGATCCTTTAAACTGAAAGAACAATGAACTCCTGAGCTATTGTATGTGTTTGGACTTTGCTATTTTTAGCAGCTTACCGTTTTGTAAAGCAAATGGCATTATAGATAAAGGTTATAGAACTGTCCTCCCCATCATTTTATGGTTCTGAGTTAAATATCTGTCCTCAGGTCAATGACTGGAAGTAAAGCTGTTTTGTATTTTCTATAAACGTGCTCTTTGAATCCCCTTGTTTTGCTGTTTCATTCTGATATATTTTTTACTTGGACAAAAATAATATTTTGTTTGCTCCACAAAATTGAATGTAAATCAAGTTATAAGGATGAGTTATGCAGAATAAATGTATTTGAAGGACAGTGAACAGACATAAACAAGAAAAGCTCCTAGATCTATGTTTATGTTTTCCATTTATCTCGATTTCTACTTATTCAGGTTCAGCTGCACGCTCTGCCAGTCTTTCATCGAACAGTAAATGGACCATTCTTAGCTTCCGTAGGGTCACAGTAAGTCCGCTTGGCACAGATACAAAGAATGATGCACTTGAAGCATGATTCTAATTTATTAAATTTAAAATAGACACAAACCCAGATGCCAGAGATGCTGAATGTCTGTTCTGGCATTTCTTTAAATAATCTCTTTTCCTCATTCAAATGGATTTGTTCAAATCTAATAACACTTTTGATTTGGCTTTTTAGGTCGAGGTTATTGCAGTTGCTTTGGTGTTGAACCCGGACAGAGAAATGAGTTAACATAATTCTTGAGACTGTATCGTCTTGGCAGCATCTCCAGTAGTAAGACCTCCAATATCTTTGGATTAACTTCTCAAGACTCCAAGAGCATTTTAAATCTTTGGTCAAGATGGTGCACTTTGATTGGAACTCAGTCAAGACTTAAAGCGTATCTGTCATTGCATTTTATTGATGTGCACTCTTTCATCGGGGGGTGACCTCAGTATGGACCATGTTACATAAAGATATCCAAGAAAGACATTGTCACAAATCAGGCCTCTGTGGCTCTCTCCGACCGCCACTGGAGGGCACCCTCTCCTGAGTACTAGCGTATATGGACTCCATTTCCCATACACCCCGTACCTGGGACTGATTACTGGCACAGGTGTTTCCCCTTAGCTTCCCCATTTAAGCAGCATCCAGACTCTTAGTTTTCGCAAAGTCTTGTTTTGCCACGGCTAACATCTCTGAGCGTTTATCCCGTCTTTTTTGATCTCTCGTGTATTACCTTGGACTGTTCATCCTAGTGTGATTCTCTGCCGCCTGCCCCGACCCTCGCTCTGTTACTGTTTACTCTCCTGGATTTTCCCTGTTGTTCCTGACGCCGGTGATTGATTACTGCCTGTTTGACTCTGCCATTTATTTTAATAAAAGCTGCAAATGGATCCGCACGCCTCTGACCCCTCATTACAGAAGACTTCGCCAAACATGGATCCAGCAGCTCTTTATCAGCTCACCACCGAGGTTTCTGCCCAAGCCTCCATGTTAGCGTCTCATCAACAACAGCTGCAACGACTCACCTCGCTCACGGAGGAGATGGTGAGGACGCTACAAGCCCTTCGCGTCACCATGCCTGAGCCCAGCATTCCTCCATCCGTTCCGTCACAAACTATTCCCAGTCCCAATCACTCGTCGACCAGCCCACATCTGGCATTTCCCAAGAAATTCGATGGCTCACCGGAAAGATGTAAGGGCTTTCTATTACAATTCTCTATGTTTGTAAATCAACAACCGCAGTTACACCCCACCGAAGATAGTCGGGTTTCGTTTGTTTGCTCATTGTTGACTGGACGAGCTCTGGACTGGGCCACTGCTGCTTGGGAGGGGAGACGGCTGTCATTTCCATCATTTGACTGCTTTCTGAAATGTTTCCGCGAGGTTTTCGAGCATTCAGCGGGCAGAAAGGAGCCTGGAGAACAGTTACTCGCGGATTATGCTCTCTCATTCCGCACCCTCGCAGCACAGTCAGGATGGGAGGACGAACCACTTAAACTGCTGTATCGCAAGGGACTCACGGCCGAGTTACAGTCAGAGCTCGCCTGCCATGATGAGGGGAGGACCCTCGAACAATTCATTGATCTCTCCATTCGCATTGATAATTTAATGCGTGCACGACGTGCCCCTCGCCACTTTCCTGTGTATTCTCAAGCAGTCACAGTTTCCTCTGAATCGGAACCCATGCAGATTGGTTTCACTCGCCTCACAAGTGAGGAACGAGAGAGAAGAATTCGTAATCATCTCTGTCTCTACTGCAGTCTATCCGGCCATCTGAGAGCCTCCTGTCCTACTCGTCCTGCCACTCGAAGTTCCGCTACGGTGAGTTCTACTCCTGATTCCATTAACTGTGTAGAAGTTCCCATTGCTCTAATGCTTAATGGTAAATGTACGGAGACCGTAGCATTGATAGATTCGGGGGCTGCGGGAAATTTCAATGACATAAGGTTTGCCAAAACTCATAATCTCCCTCTTGTTCCATGTGAATCCCGGGTGGCAGTGGCAACCTTTGATGGACGTCCTTTGGGCACAGGACAGGTCAAGTTCATCACCAAGGATCTGTATCTCCGAACTGGCATGCTTCACACGGAAACCATTCGCCATTGAATCTCCTCAAAATCCCATCATCCTTGGCTTGCCCTGGCTAGAGAGCCACAACCCCCGAATTTCATGGACAACTAAACAGATTCTACAATGGTCTGACTCCTGCCAACAGAATTATTTGCTCACTAACCTATCGCACTCCTCTCCATGACCAGCCCAGATAACAGATGATTCACCGGTTCTGGGAGTACCCTCTGAGTACCATGACCTCGCTGACGCTTTCAGTAAGACCAAGGCCTCACAACTTCCTCCTCACCGACTCAGTGACTGCGCTATAGATCTTCTTCCAGGATCAAGCCCATCTAGAAGTAGAGTTTTCCCACTATCGCAACCAGAATCTGAGGCCATGAGGGCATATATTGAGGAGGAGCTGTCAAAGGGGTTCATTAGACCATCCACCTCACCTGCGTCAGCTAGTTTCTTCTTTGTCAAGAAGAAAGAGGGAGGTCTCCGACCATGCATTGATTACCGCAGTCTCAATGATATAACAGTCAAATTCCATTACCCTCTACCTCTAGGCCCAGCAGCTCTGGAACAACTTCGCACTGCTAAATATTTCACCAAGCTCGACCTTCGCAGCGCCTACAATCTGATTCAATCCGAGTCCATGAAGGCATATATTGAGGAGGAGCTGTCAAAGGGGTTCATTAGACCATCCACCTCACCTGCGTCAGCTAGCTTTTTCTTTGTCAAGAAGAAAGAGGGAGGTCTCCGACCATGCATTGATTACCGCAGTCTCAATGATATAACAGTCAAATTCCATTACCCTCTACCTCTAGGCCCAGCAGCTCTGGAACAACTTCGCACTGCTAAATATTTCACCAAGCTCGACCTTCGCAGCGCCTACAATCTGATTCGCATTTGGGAGGGAGACGAGAGGAAGACGGCTTTCTCGACAACGTCAGGGCACTATGAATATATCGTTATGCCGTTCGGATTGGTCAACAGTCCTTCAGTCTTCCAAGCTTTCTTTAACGATGTTTTCCGGGACATGCTGAACCAAGGGGTCATAGTCTATATTAATGACATCTTGATTTATTCGGATACCCTGGACTCACATGTGCAGCACGTGCGGGCAGTTCTTCAGAGGCTCATTGACAACCAGCTATATGCCAAGATTGAGAAATGTGAGTTCCACCAGACAGTTACCTCTTTTCTTGGTTACATAATTAGCGCTGAGGGGGTATCTATGGATAACAAGAAAGTACAGTCTGTGCTCAACTGGTCTCAACCGACTACTGTAAAGGAATTACAGCGCTTCTTGGGCTTTGCAAATTTCTATAGACGTTTCATTCGTGACTTCAGCACCATTTGCAGCACCTCTCACCTCCATGCTAAGTGGAAATAAACAACGTCTACTTTGGTCACCATCTGCCACCATGGCATTTCAACAGCTAAAGGAACGCTTCACCTCCGCGCCCATTCTTCACCATCCTGACCCTGAAGTACAGTTCTTTGTGGAGGTGGATGCATCCAACACAGGCATCGGAGCCATACTCTCTCAGCGTCAGGGTAATCCTCCCAAACTCTTCCCCTGTGCCTTCTATTCTCTGATGTAGGAGATCGGGAACTTCTAGCCATGAAAGCAGCCTTGGAGGAAGGGTGTCACTGGTTGGAGGGGGCCAAACTTCCCTTTGTTGTTCTTACGGATCACCACAACCTCAAGTACCTCAGATCGGCCAAACGAATTAGCTCAAATCCCTCCTTCCAGGGAACCCATAATCCCCTCTAACCTCATTCTCGCTCCTATCCAATGGGACATTATGACAGAAATTGCAGAGGCCCAGATCAGTGAACCCCCCTCCGCCAGAATGTTCTCCTGATCGTACCTATGTTCCTCCTAGCCTTCATCATCGTGTGATGCAATGGGTCCATAACTCCCCCAGCGCAGGTCACCCAGGAATTACAGCCACCATTCAACTCATCTCCAACCGGTTCTGGTGGCCCACTCTCCAAGTGGATACCATTAATTTTGTTCATCAGTGTACCATTTGTAACGTCTCCAAATCTTCCCACCAGCACCCAGCAGGTCTTCTTCAGCCACTTCCTGTTTCCCGACGGCTAGGGATGCACGTATCGGTATCGGGCCCGATACTGAGCTCCTGTACTCGTACTCGTTAAAATGCCCCGATACCAAACGCCGATACCACACAGCATGTGATAAGTGCCATATTCAGACAAAGAAACACCGACAACAGAACAACAGACAGCAGAATGGAGTTAAGAATGTCTACTACGAAGTATATGTATGCAATGAATATAACGTTAAACATTCAGTGTTAACGCCTGTATAGCTGATCTGCGCGAGCTGATAAACAAAGCACGCTGAGTGGATTGAGCGCGCGGCGGCGCAGATGCGCGAGCTTGTCGAGTGAATATATCTTTCTCACAGACATCACCGGAAAGTTTGTAGTTCGGTCGGATATGTAAAAAACAAGTAAGTAAGACAATGCACAGGTTACTTAACGGTAGGGAGAGAGACAGAGAGAGAGAGACAGAGAGAGAGAGACCGCGCGCAATTCTGTTGTGTGATCTTTGATGTTCACTCACTTAGCACAC